TGGGGAGAAAAGACCCGTGAGTTGGAGTGAACCCTCTACCTAGTACGAGCTCACAGTGCCATGTGGCAGTGGGACCAGAAGTTAATGTGAACAGAAGCTGCATTAAGAGAGACACAGTGTCTAGGCAGAAGGAGGTCCACAGCTAGAGCTCAGCTCTGGGTGTCATTTTAGGAAGAACTTGGATAAGCTGGAGAGCTTCTAGACAAGGACAAATTGAGGCTTAGACGGCAGGAAAAAATTCCTAATGGAGCAGAACACCCAAAATGGAATTATCTGGCCATAATCTATTGCCTCCCACCCACACTCCCCGGCCTCCCACCTTTCCATACCAGACCCCATTCTAGATGAAGACGGAGAAAAATACTCAACTGTCATGACTGGGTCCACCACAGATTTGTCACACAACCTCAGCTCCGCCCTCACTGCTTCTAGACTATCCTGCTGTACCTCCCTTACTAACTGGCCTTCCCAAATCCACAGTGGCTCTTCCATACCTTTTCATCCCTCCTCAAACTATGGCATCCCCTCCCCCCTATTCTGTCAACTGAAAACATTGCCTGATGTTGTACAGAACAAATTGCAGCCATTCAGCATGAGCTTCTTCTCCCCTCTTCCTCATCTCCTTTCACTCAGATGCATTCTGCTACCATCTCCTTTGCCCCTATCCTCACATGAAGATGTGGCCCGATTCCTTCTGCATAAGTGATCCCATTCTAGCAGACTGCCTCCTTTGGTCCCTACTCTTTGTGACTCCTTCCCCACTGTCTGAAAATATGCCCGTAGTTTTCCCATCCTCAGAAAACCTGCACTTGATCTTTCCATCCCCATTGTCACCCCATATTTCTTCTGCCCTTTGTAGCTAAACTCCTCAAAAAAGCTGCCCACAGTAAGTGGTTCTACTGTCTCTCCTGTCTTCTTACCCTCTTACAATTTGTCTTCCACCTTCTCATTCCACTGAAACTGCTCTCTCCAAAGTTACCGTTGATCTCTTAGTGGCCAAATCCAGCGGCCTTTTCTCAAACCTGACTCTCCTTGACCTCTCTGCAGCCTTTGACACTGTTGCTACCCCCTTCTCCTTGATAGTCTCTTCTCCCTAGGTGTTGGGGACACCACTCTCTCCTGGTTCTCTTCCCACCTATCAGACCAATCCTTCTCAGTCTCCTTTGCTGGAATTCATCCGGCTCACTCCCACTGACTGTTGGAGTTCCACAGGGCACTGTCCTGGGCCCTCTTGTCTGACCTTCTTGTTTCCCGTGGATTTAATGATTATCTTTGTGCTGCTGTTTCTCAGATCTGCGTCTCCTAACTTCTCTGCCGATCTCCAGACTTGCATGTCCGTCGGCCTTTCAGACATCTCAAATGAGATGTCCAGTTGACATCTTTGACTCACCCTATCCAAAACTGAACTCTCACTGTCTTTCCCTATAAACCTCCCGCTCCAGACTTCCGTGTTACATAGTATTTCGTTAGATACAGGGTGTCAGCATCCTCCCACTCCCGCACTCTCACTGCCTACATATCATCCGTGTCTCCTCTCTATCTCTCCCCCCCTCTCCCCCATCTAATCAGCTGCCACGGCCTGTTGATTTCACCTTTGCAACATCTCTCCCACATCCCCCCTACTCTGCTCTGATGCTGCCTCCCACCCTGGGGCCGGCCCTCGTTTTCTCACATGATGACTATTACAGTAGCTGCTGGTGGGTCTGCCTGCCTCCAGTCTCCGCCCTCTCCCGTCCCTTCTCCATTCAGTCACCAAAGTGATTTTCCTAAAGCTCAGGTCTGAACAGGTCAGCCCCTACTCAGCAAACACTACTTGTTCCTTTTCACCACCAGGATCACAAACAGAATCCTCTGTTTAGTGTTCAAAGCTCCTGGTAAACTGGCCCCTTCCTACCCTTCCAGTTTTCTTCTGTTACACTCTGTGCTGTGTTCTTCCCTTTAGTGATACTGGCCTCTGAGCTGTTCCACAAACAAGAGGTTCCTGTCTCTTGGCCTCTGGCATTTTCACTGACCGCCCTCCATGTGTTGAGGTCTCCCCCTCATCTCCTTTCCTGGCTCCCTGTCTTCCTTCCAAGACCCGGTTAAAATCTCAAATTCTCCAGGAAGCCTTTCCCAACCCTTCTTAATTCTAGTGCCTTCTCTCCCTTAATTATTTCCCATGCATCCTGTATGTCGCTTGTCTGTACGTATTTGCTTATTGTCTCCCCCATTAGATTATGAGCTCCTTGAGAGCAAGGGCTGTCTTTTACCTTTACTTCGTATCCCCAGCTCCTAGCTAGTTCTTGACACTTAGTAGGTGCTTAATAAATGCTTGTTGACTGACTCAGCTCCCTGTAGAAGTAGGTCCGCCTCTTGGGAGGTCTTCCAGCAGAGACCTGACAGCATGGTATAGGTATATCAGGTGTATTAGGAGTTGGACTGGATTGCTGCCGAGCTCCCTTTTAGCTCTTAGGTTCTGGGACTCACAGTCTTTATTCGCCAAGCTGCGAACGCTGGTTAAGTGCCTGCTGTGTGCTGGTTGCTGTGTTCAGTGCCAGTATGTACTTACAGTGCCCAGTTTGTTTGAGGAATACAGCTGGTACTCAAGCAAGCAAAAACAGAGGAATTTTCAGGTACTGAGAACTGCAGGGATCCAGAAAGGCCTGGGTAGGCCTGGTACTCGGGCTGGCCTTTAGCGAGCTTTGGGCTTTTCTCAGGTCAAGGTGAAGAGGCACTTCTTTCCATATATGGGGGACCAAATTAAAAAAGAATTTTTTTTGGTTGTTATTCTGAACATGGTAAAGGTAACAAATATGAGGTTTTCTGTATTCAAAGAAAAGAAAAATAGGATTGCATATGTAATCATGAGTCTCTGGTCTGTACAGCTTTTTTAAGCATATAATAAATTCAGCCTGTTACTTCCAAAACTATTGTTTTCTGTTTTGCTCATGAACCTTTTTATTTTCTCTTCTGAAGAGTTTTTTGAGGGCTTTGTTGATACCTTAAATCTTTTTTTTTTTTTGGTGGTGATGGGGGAGGACATTACTCTCACTAGCCCCTCTCTTCCAAACTCTCACCTTCCAAAAAAATTTTTTTTAACCTCCTTTGGAACAATTAATCATTGTCAAGCAAAACAAATCCATATATTTGGCCATATCACAGATTGGATAATTCTTTACCTCTTGACCAAAGCTCTGTCGAGAGGTGAGAAATGTCACCACAACTTTGTTTCTTACTTTGATCAGGGTTCTCAGGTCTTTCAACGTTGTTCCTTTCACTTCTGGCTTGACTCACTGGCCAGTTAACTGTTTTCTTTCTCATTTTGATTTCGTGTGTCTTATTTGTGCAAAACCTTTTAAATTTTAAGGAATCAAACGTATCTACTCTTATCTCCTACTATCCTCTCCATCCTTTGGTCAAGAACTTTCTTGTTGAAAATAACAAGAGAAACATTTTGTGGTTATTTTGAAAAGTATTTCCATTTCTTTTTTTTTCTTCTTGGATTTTGTTATCATATCTAAATGTTAATTGATTTTTGTGGATTTGTAGCCTTGTTTTGTTGTCATCTTCTTTGAAATTATTGTTTCTATGATTTGTTCTTTGACCCACCAAGTTTTTAGAATCAGATTATTTAGTCTTCATTTAAAATGGAATCGCAGGGAGCAGCTAGGTGGCACAGTGGATAGAGCACCGGCCCTGCGTTCAAATCTGGCCTCAGACCAAACACTTGACATTTACTAGCTGTGTGACCCTGGGCAAGTCACTTAACCCCAATTGCCTTTAAAAAAAAAAAGAATGAATCCCAAAAATCTTTTATTGATTAAAATTATTATTTCATTCTGGTCAGTAAAGGATGTGTTTAGTATTTCTGCTTCTCTGTATTCTTTTGTGAGACTTTTATAAGTACCTAGTCAGTGTTTGTGATGGTTCTAAATGTAGCTGAGATTATGTATTCTCGTTTTGATTCCATTTAGTAGTCTAGAGAGGTATCATGATTGTGGCTCTTGAAAGTTATTTCAGCAGACAACAAATTCTGGCAGATTTTCCTGAGGTTTCAAGTGTGAACTTTGTGACAAACTTTTATGAGAATCACGCTAGCCAAATTCAGAGAGGCTTTCTGTTAGAAGGCTGGCTCCTAGATGATGAATTTGTCTTAGTCACAGCAGGTCACGGAGAGGATTTATAATCTGCATCAGTGGAATGAGTATCCTACGTTAATGAAATCACAGATCCTGGCTGTGGATTTAGTTGGGCATGAAGTGAGGATGCTCTCCCATGGTTGTTGGGAAATAAAGCCTTATGTGTATTTCCTTGTCTTTACCTCTGTTTCAGAATTTCAGAAAGTCTTTTTTTAAAATCTATAATCTGTTGAGAAAACCCCTAGAAAACTTTCAGAGATATATGTCTGAGGAAGATAAAATATAGCTTAAATCAGATTAAATACAACCACATTTATGTTTAGAAGTAATGGAAACTTACAGACTAAATATGTTCTGTGATATAGGATCACAGGAGATCACCTAATCTAGTGATGTTATTTAGAAACTGAGCCTACCTGGCTGTGTATTGATTTAGAAAACCACAAATTAACATCATCTTTGTTGTATTATATTTTTATGTATTTTGTTGAACATTTCCCAATTACATTTTAATCTGGCTGGCCACGTCAGGAGGGCAGTTGGCTCTCTGGGAGTTTGGCACCTGCTTGTTTTTTATAGATGAGGAAACTGGCCCCCAGAGAAGTGAAAGTCATGGCCAAGGTCATGCAGGTACTAAATAGCAGAGCTGGGATTCTTGGACACTTCCTCTTGATGTAAAAATCTGGTGGTGTTCTTTCCACCTTATCACCTAGAGGTCAGTTAATTAAGGCATCATAAAGAGAAAGTAAGTCCACTGAGCATCTGTTACACAGTAATTTTAATTTTGTCTTGTTAGGTATCGACAGATATTGGAAAAAGCCATTCAGTTGCCCGGGGCAGAACAGCTTGAAGCTTTGAAAGCCTTTGTGGAAGCAAGTAAGTGGAACTGAAATGTAATACTTGGTTTCGTGTTTCCTGTAGTGAGCTTTGAAAATGTGAGCTAATCATATCAGTGTTGGTGCCCCCTTGTGTTGTGTTTTTTGATATCACATAGAGATTTTTAAATTATATATGCCATGCGATTTATTTTGAAACAAATGAAAGATTGCAATCCTTAATTTAGCGGCATATTATAGTAGTTAAGTGAGTTATTTTTGAATTATGAAATCTCTTATCAGAAATGCTTAATTACTTCAGGCATCATTCAGATTTTAAACATTTAATTTATGATGAAATTTGCCCTATAGTTTATAATTCAATTCAGTAATCATTTGTTACCTGCTGTGGTCACTATAGGCACTGAGGACATAAAACTAGAAGCAGGGCCTGCCCTCCGGGATCTTGCCTCCCCTGGGAGGATGAGGCCCACCCCCATGCAAGTAAACACCTGGGGATTGGAGGAAGGGGAGAGCATTGACCAAGGGAGGGCACCGGGAAGGGTATGGTGGAGGTGTAACGCCGAGCTTAGCCTCCCGGGAATTAACGAATAAGTAAAAATATTTACTGAGCACTTACTGTGTGCCTAGTACGGTGCCATGTGCTGGATACAGAATTTCCGACAGTTCCTGCCCTCAGGGATCTTAAATCCTAATGGTGACCAGGGAGGCTGTTTTGGTTTTTAAGTTATAAGGATGGACGGTGGGGCCACGGGAGGAGGATTTTAATATACCCCTTTCTAGGATCAGTGATAGAGCTGAATTAACAATAATAATAATGTAATAGTAGTAGCTATGTATTATCTCATTTAATCATAACACAACTCTGGGAGGTAAGTGGGATTACTATCTCCATTACAGATGAGGAAACTGAGGCAGCGCCAGGTTAAGTGGCTTGCCCAGGGTCACACAGCTAGTAAGCGTCTGAGGCCAGAGTCTACACTGTAGCCCAGCACTCTGCCCATCATACTTCCTCATTTGATTTGAATAGTTCTCACACTGGCAAGGGGGTAAGGCTGGTGCTGACAAGGTGGGTCATAGCCAGAGCGTGGGTTCCAGTCTTGTTGTTGGCAGCTGTCGCGATAGCCTGGGAAGGGAAGAATTTGAAGAAGAGGCGAGATCAGGGAACTCGTAGAAGAAGGCCTCAGTTTTCTTAGGTAAGTAGGGGGCCAGGTCATCCAAGACTCCAGAGACAAAGACATTTCATGGCCGAGGAGCTTTGGAACACTTGCTGTGAGGCTCCTGCCATTCGAGCCGAGGCCCAGGGTTTGCTGGGAAGCAGTGGCCGAGGTGAAGTGGAGTAATGTGGATTGGTGGCACACCAGCCGGCATGGCTTTGTGACTTTTTCTAGGAGTATTCCAAAGCTTGGAAGTCAAGGCTAGAAAAGGAACGACTGAGGGTTAGGATTAGAGTTAGGCAGACAGTTTTAAGTGGCATTTATTGGAAGAGCTTCTTCAGCTGCTGCTGTTATTTTATAATAAGACCAGGCCCCAGAATGTCAGAAGGACATACCTACACATGGGACATTTGAAGAGCCTCTGTATTCCGCTAAGGAAGAAGCAAGGGACTCAGGCAGAAGGAGGAGCCATGTTAGCGACCAGGTGGAGGGCTTCTGGGCTGGGGCAGAGCTGCCAGGGGCCAAGCTGTTGCTGAGTTTAGGGCTGAGGAGGGAGCCCTGGCCTCTGCCCTTAAAGCCAAGTGGCTCCTCAGGGACCTGCAGGCCAGCTAGCCCCAGTACCAGAGGGGCCCTTTCGGGCTAGGCAGGATGGGACAAGGTGACCTATTCAGGGAGCCTCTTCTGTCCCTTGAAAAGCCTGGGGCCCTTCCCATCTTCCAGATTTTTACAAAAGGATGATTAATCATCCCCGAATAAACTGCTCCTGAAATTCAAGTGGGGAGAAACCAAAAAGCACTTGGGTACCTCTGTTTGTATCTGTACTTTCTCAAGGAGTTTGGCTTTAGTCAGATGGAAAATGGGGCGGTAGTGTGTTGTGGTAGAAAGGGTGCAGAAGCCACGTTTAGGCCTCAGACGTTCATTTTATGGACAAAGGCCAGAAATGGGGTCCTGCAAATCCCTCCCCAGCCTAGGAAGTGTCCACAGGTTCTCGGCAGTCTTCCCTGAGAGAAGCAAGATGAGGCCGGGCCCTGCCTCCAACTAGCCCTGTCCCACTTCTCCGTCTCTTTCAGCTTTTCTGGGGTGGGGTGGGGAGCTTGGAGCACCTGGGAGGAAGGAGAGCTGTTCTTTGTGCTCAGCTGCTTGGTCTGAGTTTTGACGCCCTAGGTGACGCTCCAGAAGATCTGGTCCCCTGGTCCTTCAAAGGTGGCCAGAGAGCAAAAGCAGATTTTAGTCTCTTCTGTGACCCTAACTAGGGGTCTCTCTTTCCCACTCTTTAAAGTGAAGGGGTTGAACAGAGGTTCCCTTCCAGGCCTGACAGCCTGTCAGATTTGGGTTCCCCTCATCTCTAGTGAGACTAGTGTCACCAGTGCTGCTCTGTGACTTTAGACACGTCTTTTCTCCTTTTTGGGACCTTCCTTTTCTCTTCTGTAAAATCAAAGAGGAGCTAGATGATTCCCAAGATTCCTTCTTTCTCTGATCCCTTGAAGGTTGTTTTTTTTGGGGGGTGGGAGGAGGGGGCGGCCTCAAGTTCTCTTTCCATCCTCTCCCCGAAAGCTTCTCTGTTTGTTACAAAGCATCTACCATTCCTTGACTTCTTAAATGCCAAGGGTGAAGAAGCAAGTGATGCTTCTATAGAAGTACGTGACATGGTCAGTTTCAGTGTGAAACCTCCTCATGGCTCTCTTCCACTAAGGTGGGAGACTGACTAGCCCTTCTTGCCCTGGCCTTGTGCTGGCTGGGGTCTGTGGCTCCCCTCCAGAGAGGAGTGTCTGCTCTCCCCATCCCTTCCCCAAGTCAGGGCGCCTGGCATGCTGTTTGCCCCTCACTGCAGCAATAATTTCCTAGCTAGAGGTTCTGATCACATTCATTCCAATTAATGTTATCAGCTAATGAACAAAAAATACAATATCAGTTCTTTGCTTAAAAAATAGGATCTTCGACCTTGTTTTTTAAAAGCAGTTTGTTTATAGCATAGAAATTAATTGACTTTAGCAGGGCTTGATTAATTTCATTGTGGGAGGCTGTGTAACCTTTTCTGTTAAATTTTGCTTTTTGAATTGATTTGTAACTATTATACCATTATGTTTACAAACTTTTAAAAACAAATGTAGGGGGCAGGTAGGTGGCACAGTGGATAGAGCACCGGCCCTGGAGTCAGGAGCACCTGAGTTCAAATCTAGCCTCAGACATGTGATACTCAATAGCTGTGTGACCCTGGGCAAGTCACTTAACCCCAATGGCCTCACCAAAAAAAAAAAATGTAGGTAGGGGAAAGAAAGCACAATTCTCAGTTGTTTATGAAAACTATCTTTGGATATTATTTTTAAAAAATCAAGTGAGTCAATTCAGTTCAGCAAACATAAGGTGTCCCTTTTGTAAGAGTTAAGCAGATGAAAAATTTGTCTTGTGAAATATTTGAAAAGTATGCAGATTCCTCATATTTCTTTGTCTCATGTTTTCAAACCGAGTGGTAAATGAGAACGTCAGTCTAGTGATCTCTCGGCAGCTGCTGACCGACTTCTGCACACACCTGCCGAGTCTGCCTGACGGCACGGCCAAAGAAGTCTATCATTTCACCTTGGAAAAGATCCAGCCCAGAGTCATCTCATTTGAGGAGCAGGTAAAAAGCCAGGAACCAGAGCCCACTTATACAGTCCAGAGCAGGGATTCCAAACCTGCATTGTCTGTCAGTTTTCAAAGAGTTTTTTAAGGGGTGTCATCAAAGTTTGAAAAACAAAGTGCATGTTAAAGAGATGTCAGACTATCAAATGATAGGATGCTGCTTGGGAATCCCTGATCAAGTGAATTTTCAAGACTTAACACTGTTCTTAAAATGCTATTAAAAACGATCGGTAATGTCAGGCTTGTGCTCAGAGTTTAGAACTAAGAAAATATGCCTTTCCTGGAAGAAGTTGGCTCCTGTGGCCATGAAATGTTGCCCAGACTCTCAGGTTTGGGTGTGGCATTGACTGCTCTTGTCCAGTGGTTTCTGTCTTTTAATCTTTGTTACAAAGGAATACTCACCGAGCAGGGAAGTAATCTATTTGGAATGAATATGTTTTTTAAAAAAAGGTAGTAAGTAATAAAACAGAATCATTAACAATGCCAGTCAGATGGCTGTAGTAATAGCTAAAAGGGGATTTTTAAGAATTATTTCTTTTTAAAGAATGAATTAAATTAAAGATTAAATTAAAATAATTTAAAGAAAGAATGAATTAAATGAATTTTCTTTTTAAAGAATGTTACCACAAATGTATTGGAGCTTTTACTTTTTCTTATATGTAAATCTTACTGAAAAAATATGTTGTTTTATAATAACTTTTACTACTTGAGGGCTTTAGGTTACCAGTACTTGAACTTATTTACCCTGTACAAATTAAAATAACTTGATGTATCATTTGAAATTAGATCAAATTAACAATTTTTTTTTAATTATTAAGGTTGCTTCAATAAGACAGCATCTTGCATCGATATATGAGAAAGAAGAAGACTGGAGAAATGCAGCCCAAGTGTTGGTGGGGATTCCCTTGGAGACAGGACAAAAGTATAGTAAATATAGTGGAAGATGCTTTTTTCTTTCTAAAGTTTTCCTTTACATATTCTATTAGAACTGAAGTGCTGAAGGGTCCTGGTTGTTTAAAATGAAGAGCTATTTGTTTTTTATTTTATTTTGAAAATTCTGATCTTAAACACAAATAAAACAGCCATTCCTCTCTGTAAAGCAGAACAGAAAAACAAGATCAGTGGTGTGAACAGCTTTGCTTCTTTCTCCCATCAAGTATATGTTAAATCTGAGATGCAGTTTTCAGAGCTATCCTGCTTGTCTGTATTGACTGTTGACCTTTCTTCTGTTCTCTTCTGTGCATTTTAAAAACCACTTAAATGACCATTGTATTTATTTTTTTCCATTTTGGTGACCCTGTCACTACCCTCAGTTTCCCCAAACAAACAGATTGAAAGAAAGACAAAATCCTTGTAAAAGAAAGCCCCACTTTGGAGATTGTTTAACTGGTTAGCTGGGTGCTTTACACTCTGACTTCACCTGTCTCCTCAGAGAGTAGGTAGCTTCTATAAGCATCCATCTCTGAAATTGTGGTTGTTATTGCATTGATTAGAGTTCTTCCTAAGTTCTCTTAGTTGTTTTTCCTTACATTGTGATTATTGAACAACTATTTGAATCTAGTTTTTTTCCTATTATTTTGACTCATTTTAAAAAATCTGTTACTTGATTGGTGATTTATTTATTTATTTTTTTTACTGGTAAGAAAACTTCCTCAATAAGTGTATGGCAACACCTTCTCTGCAATTGATAGTTTTGGACAGTTTGTCTGGGGGCAGTGAGAGGTTCGTTGATTTGCCCAGAGTCCCACAGCCCAAATGTGTCATAAGTGAAAATTGAACTCAGGTCTTCCTGGCTTCCAGGACAGCTGCATCCTACTTCCTCACAAAGATTTATAGGGTTACTAGATCCCCTTTTATTACTTTTCCTTTGAATATTGAAACAGTGAAGGCCATATTTCTGTGCATGCCAAGACCAGACCAGCTAGCCTTACCTTCACAATGAATATGGATTACTACATGACGAGGAAGCTGCAGTAGTCAAGGTAGAACAGTCACAGTCAGCCCCAAAGGCACTCTCTGTAGTACCCTGACCAGGCCTTCTGGATAGGGGATAGCTGGGTACTTGAGAGTTTACTTTGCTTTTCTCATGGTAAAAGATCAAAGTCAGACACAACCATTATGTTCCAGCTGATTTTATCACTTCCAATTTTAATTTTTTACCTAATTTCTAAGTCTTTAATACATGAAGTACTTTGGCTCGAAAGCATATTTTATATCATTGTCATTTTCCAGCACCTCTTCCCCTATAGAGACCTCTGCGCTAACAAAGAAGGATCATTAAGCAAAGCAGATGTAGTGATGGTATTGGACAGCACACACCTGTCTCTTCATGAGTCAGTTAGGCAGTGCATTGAGCTGGATTCTGGTTGGTTTTTTTTTTATACTCTTTTCCTTTGCATTATTGTAGTTATTTTGTAGAGTGTCCTTAGTTATGCCTGTCTCATGTAGCATCCAGTGCATGTAGACCTTTCCAGACTTCTCTGAATCCCTCTTAGTCTTCTTTTCTTACAGTGTAGTCACTTTTTTTGACCATTACATTAATGGGTGATAATTCATTTAGTTATTTCCCCAGTCAGTAAACCTCCACTTCCTTTCTAGTTTCTTACTTCCACAGAAAGTGCTCCTAGAAATATTTGGACATGTATGGAGCCTTTCTTTCTGCCACACTGAATTGCTGGAAGGAGGATGAAAGATATTAATATTCCGATACATGATCAAATTCACTTTCTGTTTCATCTGGCAGGTTCAGCTGTGTCAGATTTCACAGTAGTCCTCTCTCATCTTTTGCCACTTGACCATAGGCTCTGTCCACATAAATGTAATTTTGTGATGCTGAGAAGGACACCAGTGTAGACTTCCTTACCATTAGCATTTAGGTTATAAAACAGCTCAGTGGTGACACTGCTGAAAAGCAGCTAATTGAAAGAGGTCTTTTTGATATATGATAAGCCTTTGTTCATACGTGACTTTTAATCTTGTCCTTAAAAGCACATTATTTATTCCTTCAGTGGTTGTGAAAGGCAAGGCTTCCCAACTGTTTTGCCTTTGTTTCTCCTGACGGTATCTCCTTTAGATTTTTGTTATTTTTTAAAGTTACATCTTTTCCCCCCCAAACATAATTGATTTCCTTTGTGATCCTATGTACTTTATTTTATGCATTTATTTTATTTTACCTTGGTGTTAAGTGACTTGCCCATGGTCACACAGCCAGTGTCAAGTGTCTGAGACGGGATTTGAACTCAGGTTCTCCTGACTCCAGGGCCGGTGCTCTATCCACCGCACCACCTAGCTGCCCTCTTCTTGCTTTTTCTTATAGCACAGCTAGTTTAAACTCTCACTTGACCTAAGTAATTTGGGAATTGCATATTGGCCATTGATTTAGCTGTGATTTTTTTCTTAATAGCAGCAGAGTTAGTCCTCCTTGTTTGGGAAACCAGATGGTTTTTTTTTCATCTGTGCTAAATTAAAGTAGTAGTCATTAAAGTGAATATCTGCTGCAGGAGGCTGGCAAGTTTTTGAGTATTTAAGTAAAGGAGCTAAGATGTAACAAATAAAACAAAGAAGGAAGAACATTAAACTGTAAGCGAGGCCTGTGATGTAAGACAGAGGTCCAGATGATCTACTTTTACCAAGCTCGGTAATGCTTTATTTCTCATGATGTAGAAATATCATATAAATTTGTAAAGCACCAGGTAACTCGTGGGCCTGTCAGGATGCCTTCTTCAGGAAGCTAGCACTCCGTTTGGAGAAAGGACGTTGTTCTTTAACGTTGATGTTCTGTGGTCTTTATTCCTTACTTGCAGGCAGTACAATGTGGATTATAAACTGGAGACCTATCTGAAAATCGCCAGGCTCTACCTGGAGGACGACGACCCTGTGCAGGCCGAGGCCTACATCAACCGAGCTTCCTTGCTGCAGAACGAGTCCGCCAATGAGCAGCTGCAGATCCACTACAAGGTGGGCCCTCGGGCGCTCACGGTCTCCCTTTTTCTCCGTGAACAGCTCATAATGTAAACGTTTGAATGATTCTTGAGTGGAATCAGCTTCCAGAGTAGAAGGAAAGATTCTGTGTACCTCCGTGGGCAGAGTGGAAGCTGCAGATTAGAGAGGACCTGGAAGAAAAAGGCAATTATGACTCAAAGCCAGCAGTTGTCAGTTGTTTTTTGTAAAGCTCACCCCATCTATTTGTTAGACAGCTTTTAAATTTTATTTTTAAAAAATTTCTTCGTTAACCATGGCACCAAAGCATAGAGAAAATTTCCCCAACAGAAAATCCCATTTCAGCTCTTTTAAATTTCAGTATCTTTTATTGAATGGACATGTTCTGAATTTGCTAAATCCACCCCTTTGGAAAAGTTAGCCAGGAATCAGCAGGCCTCAGGTCACAGTAAGAAAGCCAAAGATCCATGCTGGGGTTTTTTGAGGGTTTTTTTTACTGATGTATACATTGTAATTGTTGACACTTTTTTCAGTCTTGTCAGGGCTCCAGCTACAAAGTGAAAGGGTGAAGAGATATGTAAAGTGTGATTATGAGTACATGAGAACAGCATGCAGAAATCAGAGAATGTAGTGGGGGAAGTTTTTGGTATAAAAGGGTCTGCAGATGATCTCCACCACAGGACCCCAAGAGGGCAAGCCAATCCACAAGCGTCGTGGGGGAATTCTCAAGTTTTGGAGGCAGGGAGGGAAGCCTGCAGAAGGAATCCCAGTTACCTGCCGCTGAAGCTCACCAGGAAGCTCGGGGCTGTAGTGCAGGGGCTTTTCCCTCTCTCCTTTTCCTTCCTTCCCTCCCTTCTTCCTTCCCTCTCTCCTTCATCCCTCCCTTCTTCTGTCTCTTCCTTCCTTCCTTTCTTCTTTCTTCCTTTCTTCCTTCCCTCCTGCAATGTCCTGTGCACAGCACTGTTTCAAGCAAAGCATGGATGACAGTGGAATATGGTTTAGAGAGGATTCCTGTTTAATTATTGGTTGGATTAGAGCAGGGGTTCTTAATCTGGCAGCTGGGGGCGTGGCTTTTGTCATATTTTGTTAAATGGATTTCAGCAGAGTTGGTTGCCTTTGGAGTCCTTTGTATTTCATTTTATGCATTAAAAGACGTCGTTCTAAGGAGGGAGATAATTAACTTCCCCAGACTCCTGCTCAGGGCTCCACAACACCCAAAGGTCACAGACCATTTGACCATATGGATATGGAAGGAGGTCCTTTGACCTTTTTACTTTTAATTTTTATTTTTGCTAATTTAGACCTACTCTCACTGCTGCAGGTGTGCTATGCTCGTGTTCTTGATTATAGAAGGAAGTTCATCGAAGCTGCCCAAAGATACAATGAGCTCTCCTATAAGACGATAGTCCATGAAAGTGAGAGACTAGAGGCCCTGAAACATGCTCTGCACTGTACCATCTTAGCGTCAGCAGGTAACCGCGCTGTCACTGTACCATTGAGTCCCACGGAGCCAAGGGTGACTCTGTTTGACTTCGGTAGATTAGAATTGTCTATGTGTGGGTGCTTGGTATTTGGGGGAGATAGACGTTAAGTGTTGTAACAGACAAAAGGGAATAATGCTGTACTGAGTAATTGCTATTTTCTTTAATCTATTTCTGAGCATACACTTATGTTAATAACTCCTGCACACACCCCTCCCTGGTACTTGAGCGTGGTGCCTGGCCATACTGCAGAGAGCTCTCAGTGAGGAATCACAAGCTGAGTTTAAGGCCCCAGATCTACCACTTACTAGCAGGATCAAGTCGCTTAACTGTCTCAGAGACTCACTTCCTTCATCTGTAAAATGGGGTGATGCCTATATTCTTCACAAGGTTACTGTGAGATTAAGTAAGATCATCTCTGTGCAAATGCTTTGTGAATTTTAAAAGGTAATGGAGTGACATAAAAATGAGTGTAACAAAAAAGGCGTGCCCTGAGAAAACTGAGTCTGCCTCACTTGGGTGGTGAAATTGTAATCCTTGTGCTGCTTTGAAACATTTATGTTTTCGTTGCAGGCCTCAATTCTAGGCCTTCCATTCATATCTCCCATACGGTAAATAATACAGTTAACATATGCTTTTAGAAAGCTGTTTACACTTACCTATATGGTGTAATCACTTTAGTTCCGGAAAATAAGAAAGGAATTTATATGCATAAGTTTTAGTGAGCCTAAACATGACTTTTTGAAATAATTCTGAAATTTTTTGATCTTGGTCTGTGTTTGTTTAAGAAATTACATTAAAATATTTGGGCTAGACATTTAATATAAAGCCAGTAGTCTGATTTTTAAGAACTGTCTTACCAAATTCCACATAGTTTATTACTGCTTAAAGGCATGAATATTAAGTTTTCTACTAGAGAAATGTGTTGATGATGTTCTTGTTTGTTTCTGTAGGACAACAGCGCTCTCGAATGCTAGCTACTCTTTTTAAGGATGAAAGGTGTCAGCAGCTCGCAGCCTATGGAATCCTAGAGAAGATGTATCTAGATAGGATTATCAGAGGAAATCAGCTTCAAGAATTTGCTGCTATGTTGATGCCTCACCAAAAAGCAACTACAGCCGATGGTATAGATAGAGTTTACGAATAGTAGTGATACTGATAATCTAACTTCATAAATGTCCTGATCCTGTGAGCTTTTTAATATTTCTAGGCTAATAGATGTTAGGTAATATTAATTATAGACACTTCAATCATAATTTTAATTTATATGTCATACAGCTCATACTGTTGAGAGTATTGCATGTCTTAGATGCAAAGTTAATTCTATTAGGGAACATTATTGCAGGCCAGTAGATTTTTGGATGCCATTTGCAAGAGAAGTGCCTACTTTCCCATACCTCAAAGCAAAGTACTTAATAACATTGTAATTATCCTCAAAAATCATGTATCAGTATGAGCACAAATTTTATTAATCTTGTTTTATATGGAGAAAAATGAGGTACAACGTTATCATTTGAGCACCACCACATAGAGGTAGGGGCCAAGGCCAGAATGAAATCGCCCCAGTTCCCACTTATTTTCCAGCATTACAGCATTTGTACCCTTTTATTTTAGTGCTTATTGATAATGATCCTCTTTTTCCTGGCCTCCTTTAAAGGGCTTTAAGAGACAGTGTGATCAAGGGGAAAGAACAGTGATCTAGTCTTAGCTCTGGCACTGATCAGCAGTATGACTTTGGATGAGTCACTACACATCTTTTATCTCAGTTTTGTCAGCTTTAAAATGGAGACAGTAATCCGTATTCTAACTTAATTTTTCGTGAGGGTTAAATAAGATCTTTCTTTTTGTAGATTTGAAACGGTACTTTTTAGCTACCCTCACATGACAGTGGGCTAACTTTTTGTTACTCCCTGGCATATTTTTTCTGATTTTTTTTTTTGTGAGGCAGTCGGGGTTAAATGACTTGCCCAGAGTCACACAGGTAGTGAGTGTTCTGTGTCTGAGGCCGGATTTGAGCTTAAGTCCTCCTGACTCCAGTGCCGGTGCTCTGTCCACTGCACCATGTGGCTGCCCCTGTTTTGTGTAATCTAAACCTCTTCTTGGGGGGCTCTAAAACCCAAGAAGAAGAGAGTCATCTTTCCTAGGTTTCCTGTTACCCTGTGGCGACCTTGGTGCTGTGGAGATTTAGTAAAGTGCCTGTGGTTGGCTTCTGAGTGGGTTTTTTGCTACACTTCTGGTCTTCGTAGACCCCTTCTATTTGACTTTTTGCAGATATGCTTTTCAGGAAAACAAGGATCAGAGGCAGTAGACCAGTCAATGCCTTTAAAACACACAACAGCCAATGAAACCTCCATTTTAAGTGTATTTTTTTTCAATTTTTATGGATTGTTGATTGAATAGTCTTAAATTTTCCCCACTTAGAAGCTAGAGAAACATTGAAAAGTTTTCTTTACTCAGTAATTCCCTGTGTAATAGAAATGGGCTCCCCCCTTGCCCAGAGGTCTCTAAGCAAAGCCCTGATGACCACTTGTCAGGGGTGTCTTGGGGGCACTCCCATGTCAGTTATGTGCTGGACCATCTGGTCTCTGAGCTCCTGCCAGACTCTGAGATTCTGTGGCTGGGATTAGTCAGGACTAAAGTAACTGGATGCCTGGAAAAATAGTGCAGGAAGTTTGGTTCTACATATATGTATCAACCAAATTTGTTTGCATTTTTACTAATGTTTTATTTATTTGGAATGTAGGCTGCATAGTCAAAACCTTACTAATCAGCAAATGCCTACAATAGTATTTCTGGCTCAAGCTGGAGCTATTTTTTTCATTACCACTTTTAAAGGTAAACAGTCATTTTTTAAAAAGATACTCTTTTTAGTTACATTTACTGTTACCTTGGAGAATGTTCAATCATTTTTTCCCACTTTTAAAAGTAACAGGGTAAAACCCCAGGAGTTGAATTCATTCAGTGAATTAGCGTTTTTGTTTTTTTTTTTTCAAAACTAGTTCCACTTGATTGAATTCAGAACTTATATTTTGCTACAGCCAGTTTGTGTTGACTCAGCCCAAAGTGACCTTTGGAAGGATAATACAGATAATGGTATAAGTATTAGATGCAAAGAAATGAATGTAATTTTGGAATACAGAGCAGAATTGGTGGAGAACTTATCATTGTCTGTTTAACTTCATATAAGGTTCCAGCATCTTGGACAGAGCTGTCATTGAACACAATTTGTTGTCTGCAAGCAAGTTATATAATAATATTACATTTGAAGAGCTTGGAGCTCTATTAGAGATCCCTGCAGCTAAGGTATTTTCTTACGTTTGATACCAAATAGTAGTTAGAATGTTAGAATTAATTTGTTGATCATTGAGCATCTAATTACCAGATGCTGGGGAATTTACAAAGATGAATAAAGCAGCCTGTGTCCTGAGGAACCTCATAATCAGGGGGCAGATATGTATGAATAACTATGGCAAATGGCTGAATAGGTTTGGTATCTTAAGAGGCACAAGCACAGCACTGAGGAAGTTCAGAGAAAGGGAAAATCAGGGCACTCTCCCTGGAAGAGGCGACGTTTGGTTTGGCCTTGAAAGATGGGCAGCTACAACAGAGACTTGTGGGTAGGTGGGAGAAGGTGGAGGGACCACATGAGCAAAGGCAGAAAGGTGGGGGGCCTGTCCACAGAAGAGGAGGTTAGTTTAGCTCGAGCCTGGGGGCTTGCAGGGGATAAATGGGGAATGAAATGGGGACGATTAAGCCTTCTCCTCCTCCCTCCTCCTTGACGTCTTGTGGTCTTGTGATGTTCACAGACATCTGGCCGTCCCTGGCATCCCAGCGCACTGACACAGAACTCCTGAAGTTCCTCCGTCTGTCCTCTAGGCCTCCTCCCTCTGCCGCGTGCTGTTTGTACTTGTGCCTCCGGTGCTCCCCCAGGACCTTTTCCTCGCCTCGCCGCCGTGTGCAGCCTTGAGCTCTCCCGTTCTTTGGCCCTTTGCGCTGGCGTCCTGGTTCCTCGCCATGCTCCGAGCCTGTGTTCTGGCCTAGGCTGCCTCTTCCCGTGCTCCTGGGTGGCACTGGAGGAAGATGGGCGGCCACTGGCGCTGTCTCGCGTCGTTTGGCCTCTCTGCCGCACATCAGTGCTTGACTTCTTTCCTGATCAGTTCCTCCCACTCTTGTGAATTTCCCCTTCTCTTCACAGACCCGTCACATCATCTCCCTTCTTTCCGCCTTTGATCTAGTCTCTGAGGAGACGGTGGCCCCGTCACTCACGTCTTTGATTCCGTCCTGCTCTGTCTCTTCTGGCGGTTTGACCTTTCGATTGTCTGTTGTCTGTCCCCAGTTGTCAGCCTCTCTGTCTGCTGGCTCCTTGGCCACTCGTGAACACGCTCAGGCCTCCCTCCATCCTTGAGTAATCTTTACTTGACTATAGCGTTCCTCGTGCTGCTTTTATCTGTGCTCTCTTTCATAGCCTGAGCCTCGGAAAAAGCCGCTCGTTGTTTCGACTTCTCTTTGGCCTGTTTCCATTTGCCTTCAGACCTCATTACTTAGGTGAACCCCCGCCCTCCCCAGTGGTTCCCAGGGTGCAATTCGTTGCTAAACCCGGTGGCCTTTCTCATCCTTCGAGGCCCCTTTGCAGCATGTTGTGTCCTGCCTGAGGTTTCATTTTGCTCTCTCCTTGCTTTCCTCCTCCCTGCCTGACTGCTGCTTCTTTGTCCCCTGCACCCGAGTCCTGATTGCTGGCCCACTTTCTAATCGTGGGTGTTCCACGAGACTCTCTTGCTGATCCAGCCCTGTGCCTTCTTTTAGGTTTGTTCATCTTGGACATTACAAGCAAAATGTTCTGTAGGACTCAAAACTCTGCACGTTCAAAACAGAGCCCCTCTTCTTTCCATCCCTTCACACATCACCCACTTAGAGGCACCTGGGTTCTCAGCCTTGGAGGCATGCTCGGCTCACCCCTCTCCCCACCACCCGTGTCCAGCCCGTTGCCGAGGCTTGTGAATTCTGCTTCCCCAACATCAGAAGCATCCATTCCCTTCCACTGCGACAGCCACCACCTCAATTCAAGCCCTCATCCCCTCTCGCCTAGACTGTGGCAGCATCCTCCTGATTGGATTCCCAGCTTCCATTTTCTCCCCTTTCCAGTACACATCCTCCCCCCCCCAAGCCGATGGAACCACTTTTCTATAGCGCGTGTCGCTCCCCTGTTCAGGAGCCCTCGGCCTGGTCACATTATGATCCCGTCCCTCCTGCCCCAGCTAGCCTGCTCTCTGTTCCTTAGACTTAGCCTCCATTCCATGTTTGTGTTGGTGCCTTCCGCCTGGAAGGTGCCCTTCTGTGCTTGCCCCTGGCTTCTTCTGTTCAGCTTTTAGGTGCATGCCGTCCTCTTACAGGAAGCCTTTTGGGAGCCATGCGCTTTCTCAGATGATCAAGTGTCTCTGTCTGTCTGAATGTTATAGCCCCGCAGTAGAATGTGTGTGGTAGATAGAATCAATTCATGCTGGGATGGACTAGATTGGAGCTTGGTCACAGGAAGCCTCTAGAGATTTCTGAACCAGGGAATGGCCTGGTTAGATCTGTTCTATGAGAGCCTTCTAGAAGTGGGGCGTGTGCAGTTTGGGGGGAGGAGGGAAGAAGGTAAAGACTCCTTACAGCTCCCGAGAGCTGAGATGGGGCGGGGGGAGCTTGAGGAAACACAGAGTGGTGGCTTACATGCTGTGGCATAGGGCTGAAGTGATTCCATAAAGAATTGTATTTGGTAACAAGGGTAGCCTAAAATGGAAGCGTGTGTAATTTGGCAGTTGCACAGAGTAAAATGATACCCTAGAGCAAGGATTCCTAGCCTTCATTGTGTGATGGCCCAATCTGGTAAAAAATAAACAAACCGCATTTATACGACACTTGAAGGTTTGCAAGGAAAGGACTGTCTACATAGTGTCTCATTGGCTCCTCACAACAGCCAGGTGGCATTATCACACCCACTTTATAGTTGAGAAAACTGAGGCAGGGGTTAGGCTACTTACGCAGATTCACACAGCGCTTAAGTTTGAGGCTGCATGCGGGCCCATTGCTCTATCCACCATGCTACCTAGCTCCCTATAGGTGAAGCTTATAGACCCCTTTCAGAATAATGTTTTGTTGCCTACATATAAGTGAAGGAGATACTGAATTTCAGTTAGATTAATGCAGATAAAGATGTGAATGTTTTCTTATTCAAGCTCAAGACCCCCTGAAATCCTGGGTTAAGAGTTCCTGCTCTTGAGTATGTTGTAATAGCTTTCCCCGTTGATTTATTTTGTAGCATTAACTCTCCTTGCTAGGTAATTTAATTTTGTCCTCAGAATGTCTTAAAAATGAGGATTTCAGTGGGCAGCTAGGTGGCGCAGTGGATAGAGCTCCTGCCTTGGAGTCAGGAGGACCTGAGTTCAAATCTGGCCTCAGACACTTGACACTTACTGGCTGTGTGACCCTGGGCGAGTCACTTAACCCCAACTGCCTCACCAAAAAGCAGAAAAAATCCCCGCAAAAAAAAAAAATGAGGATCTCCGGTGTGCCAGTGTTCAAGAGACAATAAGTTGGCAATAACATGTGTGGAGGATCTTGAGACTGTCAACAAAAACCCCAAACGCCTCCTCTAGTAATTACTGCTGGCAATAATTAGCAGGTCACGTTTCATGGTTACACTTTCTAAGCCCTAACCATAGAGAGAATGGGAAGTACTGTAAGTGACCGCTTACCAAGTTGCTCACCAAACTTCATTCTTCCTTTGCATGTATATAGATGTATGGCCATATACCCATATTGGCTTCTACTTACTTTTAATATTGAAAAGTTGACTAATGAGCAAAAGTTCTGAGGCCTGTCCCTTTTCCTGATCCTCCCCCTATACTTTTTGATAGTAGGCCACAAATAGTATAAGGCTAATATGATTAATTCCAGATCGGATTAGAACAAATCATGAGCGGTTTTGATGTTTACTTTTGTAATAACAAACAGCAGATGTGTGAGATACACACACGTGTAGATCTAGAATCTAGATATATAGATGTGTGCATGTGTGCACATTGAGTGTATGCACAGAGAGACTCTAAGACAGTGAAAACAGAGCAGAGTGCTGGACTTTGGCTTTTCTCTTGTCCAGTTTGGGCAGTTCTCAGATGTGATCAGAAGAAGTCATAACTTGTGAGGAGCCTGGTGAATCATGCACATCCTGACTGTCTCCCAGAATTTTCGGTGAGAGTTGAAGGACACCTTTTTGTCTAGAAACAGAACTGTTTCTCTCCTGCATCACGTGACGGTGGCTCCCTGGTATTTCAGTTTTTTCCAGAAGGAAGCCTCTTCTTCGGCGTTTCTGTCTGTGAGACAGCGAGGAGGCTTGGTGGACAGAGCGCTGAGCCTCAGACGCTGACTGTGCGGCCCGGGGAGAATCTCTTAACCTCTGTTTGCCTCAGTTTCCTCAGCTGTGAATTGGGGGTAACTGCACTTTGCTTGCAGGGTTGTTGTGAGGATCAAAAGACAACAGTGGGTGCTGTAGAAATGCTTGTTCCCTTCCTTCCTTCTCATCTGAACCCCAGAGAGGTCAGTCATCTCCCCTGAGTCCCCTGCTGTCTTGTTGCTACTTAGACAAGGTGGAGGTTTAGTAAAACTCTGGTGGTTGAGTTCTGAGTGCGGTTTTCCACACCCATTTAATGTGCATAGACTCCCTTCTCTTAGATGCTTTTTCACTTTAGGAAAATAAGGAACAGAAACTGTAGACCACTTAGTGCTTTAAAAAAAATTCCCATAAACGCCATTTCAAGTTTGTGTTTTTCTTTTTTCAGACTTCTGGATTATAGATTTAAAAGTCTTGAATTACACCTATTGAAAAGGTTGTGAAAAGAAAAGTGACCCTTAATTCAGTATTGAATTTGACTTCCCTGCACTTCCCTATCCTGCCTCCGAGGGTGTAGGCTCTGCCTGTCGGAAGTCTGCAAGCAGAGACTGGGTGGTGCTGCGCGTCCCCTGGTCCGGGGGTAGAGCCAGGTGGCCCCTGCCAGCTCTGAGAGCCGGCGATTGTGTCGTTTCTGTTTTTCAGGCAGAAAAGATAGCATCTCAGATGATTACCGAAGGCCGTATGAATGGATTTATCGATCAGATTGATGGAATAGTTCATTTTGAAAGTAAGAATTTATCACTTTCTTGTTACTGTTGTTAAACTGCAGTTCAGTAGCTGTTGGTTGAAGCGGACGTATGACGAGAGAATGGCCTTCCCCAGTAGGGGCAGTCACTTTATTCATAACAGGACTGTCACCTGGTAATGTTGTGCCCCGTGTAAGTGACACTGTCTAATAATTATGGTCATTGTCTAAGAATGGGCATGATCTGGGTGCTTTTTTGCTTCTGTGGGACATTTTTATACTCTTCCTAATGAGTGTTTCATAATTAACTCACTCTTTTACAAGGAGATGTTTTTGTTTTAGAAGAAGTTATAGAGGAGGTCTGACCCTGGACCTGTAGTGTTTGTTTGACCCAGAGGCAGCTTCATGTAGTGGAGAGAGCGAGCTGGCCTGAAGTTGGGCAGACTTGGGTGCACGCCCTGCCTGCGACCCCTCTTGGCTGGGTGACCCCGGGCAGCTCCCTAGACTGTCAATCACAAAGCGGGTGCCAGTGTACGTGGATGGGGAAAGTGTCCAGAAGGCCCTTGGGCCAGGTAGAAAGGGATCCTTGTGGGCACAGTCACTTAGAAAACCACAACTTAGCATTGTCTGTGTTGCTTTGTATTTGTATTTCATTCGGTTAAGACGTTTCCCAGTTGCACCCTAGTCTGGTTCCTGCACTCTTCTGAGCAGTGAGGCCCATGTCGTCTTGTCCCCAGCCTTGTCCTCCTAGGTAGAAGTACTGCCCATGAATGGAGTCTTTATGTTTTTCCTCTTTTCTTTTAGCCCGTGAGGCTTTGCCAACGTGGGACAAACAGATTCAGTCACTTTGTTTCCAAGTGAATAACCTTTTGGAGAAGATAAGCCAGACAGCACCCGAGTGGACGGCGCAGGCCATGGAGGCCCAGATGGCCCAGTGACTCGACGCTCATTGACCGGCTTCTGCAGCGTCTCTGTGATCGTACAGATTAATTTCATTACGACTCCAAAGAATCTGTATTATGACCCTGCACATTTCCGTGTCCTCTTACAACAGAATCTATTTCAAGAAGCATTATTTCAGAGGAGATGGTATGAACGAACACTTTAAATTTCTCAGTCCTCAGTCCCCGTGTTTGGTGGGTGTCTGTCTATCAGACTGCTGCGGTTGTTTTGAAGGTGTTTGTTTAAATTGCTGGAGCGAAATCTCTGTGACTAAAAAGATTTATTATAGTTCTTCACCTTGTGCTACGTTGTACGTGTGCTTTATTCCTCTCAGATGTTCCAATAAAGAGGGGAAGGAGCCAAATACAAATGGGTTTTTGTGTTTTAATGATTCAGTATTTTTTCCTCCTCAGTTTTCTATGGTTACATGAGACAAAAATGCCTTTTCTACAGCTTCACGTCTGTTCCTAACACTTTTCTTTAATCAGAAATGAAGCCGTATTGCTACATGCCCCTTATTTATATGCATCGGTGTTTGTTATATTAAAAAAACCCATTCCTACATGTGAGATTTGGGGAGTCATTGTATTATTATTAGAGCTATATTTTAAAATAAGGACCCCAGGGAAATGGAACGAAAATATAACTAAGTCATTGATAGAAATCTCCTCAAAAGGATGCAAAACCTTAGTCTTTGTAACTCATAGACCAAAGTTCACTGGCAGTAAGCTGAAATTTCTAAGAACCAAATTTTTGTAATAATGTGAATAAAAAGTATAAAAATCAGTATTAACATAAAATATGTACACAGAAAATTTTATTTTGAATGCTCTTTATTTGTTTTACATTTTAAAAAAAGCCTCATATTACCAATCAAGCATTGTTACAAGAGTCGCAGTAAGCCGCAGAGAAGGAAAGCCTCCTGGGAGAAGGTCCCCAGAATAAATGTTCATGTAAAGTGAGAAGAGCTTCCCTGGCCTGGCATACCGTCATGATTCGGCTTTGTTATGGCACGTAGCAATTTAGGAGCAAGGGTTAGAGGAATACTTAGAGAAATACATTTTTCAGGCATTAAAACTGATGCCAATTGGCTTCATCAGAAACACAAACTGCATCTGCAAAGACAAAGGACAGCTGGATTAGAATCGTGTAATTTAAAAATTTAATCTTCTAATTCTCATCTCTTCAACTCTCCTCTTTCAATTTTTTGTCCATTTAAAGGCTTAGAATTCAGTGTACAGGACAGTGGGCCAAAGAAATGAACAAGAAGTAAGCTGTACTAAGGAGTTTCCTACTTTAAGCCAGTTCAGGGAGTGATTTCCTCTGTAAAATCTTAAGAATCATTGGGTCCCTTATCCGTTCATGCTACCTAACTTCCAATGAGCCCTCATCCTCCTGCTGACTCCCTATTTTCTCTGTCTCTTTCTTGTACTCACCTCTTGTTGCACACCTTTTCTATTTCCAAATCCCAAACCTAACCCAGGTCCTTTCATTTTTTACTTTATTGAGAAGATGAAGGTCGTCAGAGTTAAGCTCTCACCTCCTCCCTTTCTCCAAGTGGCCCCATTATCTTCAAAAAAAAAAATCTTCATATACCCAGTGGAACACAAAAACAAGATTGCATAGGAAACCAAATTCTCATTTCATGCCACTTTTAAAAAAAGTATATAGCAAATTCCACACATTAACCTGCAAGACTTATCAGTATTTCTTTTTTTATTTTTTCCCAATTACATGTAAAAACAATTTTTAACTTTTTTTAAGAATATTTTGAGTTCCAAATTCTTTCCCTCCCTCCCTTTGTATTTCCTTCTAAACTTCTGCCTGTTCTCTTCATTAAAAAAAAAAGTTTCAGTGTTCTCCCACCCCCCCCTTTTTTATTTCTGGCATCAGTAATGCCCGAGTGGTCCAGCCCTCATCACTTCTTTCCTTAGCCTTCTGATTGGCCTCCCTGCCTTCAGCTTGTCTTCTTTTAAATCCATCCTCTCCGAAGCTGCCAAAATCTGCCCAAGAAAATGCCTTAGTGACTTTCTTCTTGCCTCAGGAGTAAAATACAAACTGCTTTATTTGGCATTTTTTTATTTGGCCTTTCACGAGCTGCCTCCCCCTATCTTTTCAGACTGATTCTATATGGCTTCCTTTCACTGCCATGTTCCAATCAAACCAAGTTATTCTTCTCTGTATGACATGAGGGCTGGCCCTCCTCCCCATTCCCACCTCTTGTTACACAAAGTCCTCCATAAGCGGTCTTGTTTGAAACGACGGTTCAAATCCCATGTTCCTCCAGGAGGCCTTCCCTCTAAGATCACTTCCACTTTACTCTGTATATCTGTATATACAGTCTTTGAGGCGTGTTGTCTTCCTCTCTTAGACTGTGAGCTCCTTGAGGCTGAATAACTTTGTACTTTCGGCCTTTTCTTTCTATCCTCAATACTTAAGCATAGGGCCTGCTCAGAGCAAGTGCTCAGTGAAAGCTGTCAACTGATGTTTCCCGCACTGCATGCCCATCCCCTACAAGAATTACTTGTATTTACTTTGTACATATTTTTGTATTTACTTGTATGTCCTTTCCCCCAGTAGAATGTGAGCCTTTTGAGGTCAGAGACTCTTTTTTTTCTTTGTTTTAATATCCCTACTGCCTAACCCCCTTATTTTTGCAAATGAGGAGACTGAGGCGCACAGAGGTTCAAGATTCAGACTTGAGTCCTCTGAGTCCAAATCCTTTGCTGGATTTTGTCCTCTCGAAATGTGAACTTGAGTGGGAAAGGAAGTGATGGGTACAAAGAATGTTTCAAGGACATTAGATACTGGCTCCATTGCATAGGGGAACCAATTAGATTATGATTGATTGCATTATCTAGTTTAAAACTCAATCTCACCAAGTAGGACTTCACCTTGATCAGTGCCTTCATCTGTAGCCATCCCAAGCTGACACATACTGGTGTTTTGCAATTGTCATTCTCATCTGACCCCTTGAAGTCAGAGATAATACCACATTTATTTTATCTCCTTTTGGTACATGGTGAAGCCCTTTACATGTAGTAAGTGCTTAATAAATGATTATTCACAGATTGACCAAATCCTGAGTAGACTCCTGGGAATTCAGCCATTCCAGTGGGTTGTACCCATCCACTGAAATGGGATGCCGAACTAAACCAAATTATTTTCCTGTGAAGAAATCAGCCTTTACAGTTATGGTAATATAAGAGATCTAAGTTTTCTTGATTGAAAAAGTTACTACATTGAAGAGGTCCCAAGTTGTTCTTAAAAGACCTCTGGGGTCCTATTGACTCACCATTAGCTTTTTCAGAAAGCATTCATTTGCCTCCTCCTATTAATGTCCCGCTTCAGTTGGCAAAGAGAACACACGGTACAACAGAAAGTCACCATGAAGTCACTGCAGATGGATCCCTGTTGAAGAAGTGAAAATCAAATAAAAATCATTAAGATCCCGGCTTTTATTTTTTAGTTTAGTTTGTTTTGTTTTCGGAGTCAGTCGGGGTTAAGTGACTTGCCTGGGGTCACACAGCTAGTAAGTGTCAAGTGTGTGAAGCTCATGGCTTTAAAACGGTTCCAAGGTATATAAGGGAGGTAAAATCAGACACAGATCCGTGGGATAGTGAATCCAGTTTGATAAAATCCCTTAAAATTTAGTAAGGGAGGTTTCCTTTTTTTCATATAAATCTCCCTTTTTATGTTTAATTTTTCTGGTACTTCATGGGATTAGAAATGTTACATTATTTCCAAGACCCGTAATTTTGTCCCACTGGCACAGATCCATATAATTCAGTAGGTGGTCTTTAAGAGTTGTATCCACAAGGTCTTGTGGCCAAACTGAGCTTAGCCAGACTGGCCCATGGATAGCAGGCAGAGCAGAGGTCACAGGACTCACGCTTAAGCCTTCCCAGCTTCTGCTGACACAACCCGCAAAAATGCCTGGGTCACTTCCACATCAAGACGGGGCATCCAGTACTTGGGTAAAGTACATGACCTGTATCAGTTAATTAGGAGGCAGCTAGGTGGCCCAGTGGAGAGCGTGCTGGGCCTGCAGTTGGGAAGACCTACATTCAGATGTGGGCTCGGATTGCTGTGTGAACCTGGGGAAGTCACTTAATCTCTGCCTCAGTTTGCTCAACTGTAAAGTGGGGATAATAACACCTACGTCCCTGGAATGTTGTTCGGGTAAAACGAAATAATATTTGTAAAGCACTTAGTACGACACCTGGCACCTAGTAGGTCTACATAAATGCTTATTCCTTCCCTTTTCCCTCCACCCCCCCATCCCAATTATTGTAGAATAAATACCTCATGTTTATTTGTACCAGTATTGCACAGAGTGAAACATATAATTGGTGAAATAATATATAATGTGCATTATATGTACAAATAGGATGCACAGAGTAAGTGCAGGGATTGTTGATTACAAGGCATTCTATTATGTCTCGAAGCAGGGGTCCTTAACTTGAGGTCCATGAACTTGGTTTAAAAAAGAAAAAATTGGAAAACTCAATATAATTGCTTTCCTTGAATCCTATGTGTTTTATACATTTAAAAACATTCTGAGAAGTGGTCAGATTGCCAGAGGGGCCCATGACATTACAAAATAAAGTTTAAGAATCCCTGCCCTAAGGGAATTCCAATAGCTAGAGTCAAGCCGAAAGGGATAATCCTAGCTCTCCCCACCATTTTAATTCTCTTATTCAGGACGGGAAATGAAGGGTGAGGCAACCTTGCTGGACAGCCAATGGATTGCAGATGGTTGAGGATCTCCCCTACTAGGCCAGATTATATCAATAAGCATTTATTAAATGCCTACTATGTTCCCGGCACTGGGCTCAACAAAGAAAAGGCAAAAGCATGATTTCTAATAACATGAACACATATATCCATTTGTATAACAGTCTTCTCGGTGGGGTCATAGGGCTGAGGAGGTGACTCACAGGGATGCCATATCTGGTCCGGTAGAGGGTCCTCATGGCCACACTCGTACCGCACAAGCAGCATTCATTCATGTCAGAAGCCACTTGGCACGCGAGGCAGATGGTACAGAACGTCCCACAGAGGCCTAGTCATGGAGGAAACCACAAGCAGGAGTTACTTTATGGTTTTTTTTTTAAATTAAATCTGTAATTCTCTAAGGCACTTTAAAGAGAAACTGCTAATTCCACTATGGGGAGGAGGGGGAGGAAAAAATCTATTACAATGCATGCAATATGCATTATTTCAACAGTGATGAAATATCCTGTGCACGCCATATCTCCCCATCCTAATCTTTCTTGGCCGTTTAGCATGAATGAACTTTCACAAGATCTGCATGAGTAATGACATGTTGAATGCTCCCCTACTGGTCCAATATGGCTTATGTGAAACCTGAGTATGGCTGCTAATCAATTTTCTTTCCAATGTGTGTCCAGGGGCTTAATTGTAGATGGATGGAGTTGGCACATATGTTGTTGAGAAGAGAAACCTAATAATTAATAAAGCAGCAAAGGTGGTGGTAAATCTTAATAAGGCTGTGTCATTTATGAGGAATAGAGCAATTCAGGCAGATTGAGAAAATGCGAAAATGGAATAACAAAGAAGAGAGCAAAATTTTAAAAAAACCAACCCCCAATAAGTAGGAGCCTTCATATCTCTGCAAACCAAAGCAACAGAGCTATAGGGCAAAATTCTGCAAGGCTATCTTAATTATGTGAAATAGGTGATTAGACCCCTCTTTTACTCCAATCAGTATTAATCAGCTTGTGATTTCATAGAGGTAATGATTGGTAGTAATTGTTAATATATCAATACAGTATGCCTATAATCAATGTACATTCAATCAATCAAATTAGCCAGCCAATCAATGTACATTTAATTTTAGTCAATATATTACACCTGTTATCAATACACATATAGTTAATTAACATATTATACTTAATATATATTTAATCAATTAATCAGGAGTGATCAAATAGGATAGAGTCTTTCTTATGAAAGGACCCTGGACTCTTATAAAAAGGCTCAAACTTTTTATGAAAGGCCCCAAACTATACTGCATAGTCAGAAGGTCACTTATTAAGAAGTTTGCTGGCCTAATCATAGGAAGCTAACTAGAGAACTTTACCTTTTCCTCCTGCCAAGGACCGAGGACCAAGCCTAGTGTGGCAGATGTGGGTCAATTACATGGAAAGTCCCCCAGCCATTCCACTGCCTCTCCACCCTTCATTAATGATCTCCTTATTGTCCAACATGAGGAGGTGGTTATGAGCATTTGGCCAACGAGTGACCTTGCTCACTAGGCTGTAGCCTGCCTTTCTACCAGCCCATTGGCTCATGCAGATGTTTTGACATCCGCTTATCATCCCAACCTCATGAGCCTCCTCCTCTATTTTGGTAGAACTTGGAGGGTCAAGATAGGTCTAGTGAGGTCGGCTTGCAAGTCTATCTGTCAACCAATGGGATTCTGTATTTTGTGTAAACTCTCCTGGAGAGTCAAGGGCAAAGTTTGTCTACCAATCAGACTCTTTATTTTTGGCCTATTCCACCTGTATTGTCCAGGTAGCAAGTACTATGAAAGTGCTTACCTAGAGGAAGCAGGCATCTCAGGTTGTGAGGAAGGTCTGAGATCCCATTCATTAAAGGGGGCCAGGTCCCTTTAACAAATGGTTATTGGCTCAGAGTTCTGCCTCAGTGGTTTTTCTTGCAGATTAGATGTTTTTGGCCTATATAGGGCAGCTAGATGATGCAGTAGATAGAGTACCAGAGCCCAGGGTCAGGAAGACTCATCTTCCTGAGTTCAAATCTGGTCTCGGACACTTACTAGCTGAGTGATCTTGGGCAAGTCATTTAACCCTGTTTGCCTCAGTTTCCTCTTCTATAAAATGAGCTGGAGAAGGAAATGGCAAACCACTCCAGTATCTTTGCCAAGAAAACCCCAAATGGGGTCATGAAGTCAGACACAACTGAAAAATGACTAAACAACAAAAATCTAAGAATTATTGGCCTCCCTTCCTCCCCCCCATACAAAGAAATTGAGCACCATGTTCTACTACCTCATGCAATTAAATTGCCTTAGAAATGATGGAGACAAACCACAAACCGTAAAAACCAAAGCATGCTGACAGAGAGGAGCTCCAGTTTCTATTCACCCAGAAATGTAGTCCCAAGTCCCAGGGCTTCAAATCAAAAAAGAAATCTTGCAAGCAGCCAAAAAGGTGAAATTTACAGATCCACAATGTGGTAGAAGCAATATCCTAACTTTTCTCTGCATGCAAGTTAGACTAGTTTTTCCTTAAAATGTATTGAGACATTCCTTGAGAGCGGATTGTCTCAGGAGACAAAAACTCCAGAACTAAGGCAGGACCATTAACATTCCAATTGACTGAGGAGTTGAGGCTTCAAACAGATAATCTAGAATACAGCTAGAAGGTAAAGAATGACTCAAGGTGCTAACCCCGTGGACAGTGTGATAAGCCAATTGTAGCTTCTAAGTCATGCCTCATATTAGGGTCATTGAAAAAAACAAGGAGTGGTAGTAAAATGTGGATCAAAATTAGAAAGCTAAGAATTTGAGGGAGAGAAGACTTGAAAAGGAAATAGTCATTAGATTTGAATCTTGGCTCTTAAAAATAGCTCCCATTTATATAGTATTTGGTGCTGTTGAGTCATTTCAGTCATATCTGACCCTGTTTGGGGTTTTCTTGGCAAAGATACTGGAGTGGTTTTCCATTTCCTCCTCCAACTCATTTTAAGTGAAGGTTAATCAGACCAGGCGGCAGGGTTATCTGGGCTATGCCAGAAGGGTAAACAAAAACAAACAGTGTACTCAAAGGGGCTAGGTGATTTGCCCACTTCATATAACTAGTAAGTGGCACAGCTAGACCCAGGTCTTTTGACGTTGTCTTCTGACATTTTTCCTGCACTGTGGTATCACTCTAAAGTAACCTCATTGACTTTTGTGTAGGGGTTTTCTAGAGCAACCTAGACGCTCTTCCTCACATATGGCTTTCCATCTCCTGCCTCTGGCCTCAGGATGGACAGATGATCTCCTTGCCTACTGAATCTCACCTCCGAGAATGAATCCCTAGCTTCTTTCAAATGCTACCTCTTATGTGAGGCCTTTTCAAGCTGCTTCTTATTCAAATGAATTAATTAATTATTTTAACTAAGTTAATTTCAATTAATTAATCCAAAATTACTTTTTATTTAAATAGCATATACTATATGTATATATGTGTACATGTCATTTTTCCCGGTAGACATTTAAGCTAAATTTTTGATTCTGTATGTACCTAGTACATACAACCTAGAATTTTTGATACCTACTACATACAGCCTAGAACCTAGTACGGAAATCTAGTTTCTGACACATAGTAGGTATTTTAAAAATGCTTCTTTATTGATTGATGGTGTTTTGTTTAATAAAAATGAAGTAAAATGAACTTCAGATCTAATTATAAACAGGCAGACTTATCAGTGATAGAATAAAGCAGATCTCTCTTTGTTATCTCAATTTTGAAACATATTCCAATATAATCTGGGGACCAAGGTTATTTGCATAAGACCTTCTTCATTGGGAGGGAACCATAATTCAATGCATTTTTTTGCTTTGTGTGAGGGTCACAGTGAGAGCTTGGGAGAAGAGAGAGCCTAGTTACCATTCTCCACCAATGAAGAGAGTCTTACACAAATGACCTCAAGTCCCAGATTACACATAAATAAGATTACTCATTGACAAGTACCAGGTGTATGAATCATTTGGCGATCACTGCTATGGGCTTAAAAAAAGGCAGCATCATATCGACTAGGATCGATGGAGATAGCATTTGGAACACGCTCTATAGAGACAGAAGAATGGAAAAGGGTGACTGGAAATTTGATTTTCTATCAATCACGTTCAGTATTAACTTGGCATCAGGACTTACAGACTCCACAGTCACTGCAACAGTCTAGAAGACCGGTCTGCCAGTTGGAGCCGTGGGGGTAGCCGCCCCTCTGGGGCTGAGTCACCACTACAATAGGTTGTGCTTGCTGCATCTTGGAGGTAGGTTCTTAGAAGCCCGCAGCCTGACAGGGAAAGGAGAGAAATGATGTATCATCAAACATCTTATGGTTACTGATGGTCATTTGGATCAAGCTGCCTCGACATTGAAGGAGTATCATTGTTGGCACTGGAAGACTTCAGTCTTAGCTGTCACCTTCACTAGCCCATGTGATCTGAGCAAGTGATCTATAAAATGGTAATAAACTTATTATAAGGGAGGGATCAGTAAGGTGCTCCATCACTGACATCAAAATAGAAGACATCAAAAGAACATCTTTAGGGTTAGCTAGGTGGCACAGTGGGTAGAACACCAGCCCTGGAGTTAGGAGGACTTGAGTTCAAATGCGGCCTCAGGCGCTTGACACTTACCAGCTGTGTGGCCCTGGGCAAGTCATTTAACCCCAATTGCCTTGCAAAAAACCCCCCATTATTTATTTATTTATTTGCATATTTATCTATTTATTTATTTATTCATTTGCTCATTTATTTATTTATTTATTTGTTAGGCAATGGGGTTAAGTGACTTGCCCCGGGTCACACAGCTAGTGAGTATTAAGTATCTGAGGATGGATTTGAACTCAGGTCTTCCTGACTCCAGGGCCGGTGCTGCATCCACTGCGCCACCTAGCTGCCCCTTAAAAACCCCATTTTTAAAAATAAAAGATAATAAAAATAAAAAGAGAACAATAATATTTTGTACTAGCTAGCATGGAGTTGCGAAGAAAATGCTTTGCAAGCTTTCATTTGCTCATTCATTCATTCAGTCAGTCAGTCAATCAGTTAGCTTAGACCTATAAGGTTGTTGGTATAGAAAATTCTCAATGAGTAAACTCCCTTTACCAATGTAGACCAGTCTATGCTTTGAAATTTGTAGTCAGAGAGTTGCCTAGGAGGACAAAAATTAAGAGTCCTGCAACTATCTTATGAAACTCGACATGTCAAAAGAGAATTTATCATCTTTCCCTCCATCCCAGTCTATCTTTATAAAGAATCCACCTTCCTTATTTCTGTCCCAGGTACCACCATTCTTCCAGGCTCCCAGGATGGTCTCAGCTTTATCCCTGACTCCTCACTCTCACCCCACACAGCTAAATCTTGCTGCTTCTACCTCCGCAGGATATTTCAGATTTGGAGCTACACAGAGAACATCCTAGTTCAGGGCCCCAGCACCTCTCACTTAGACTATTGCCATGGTCTCCCAATCACTCTTCTTGCCTCATCTCACTTCTTCCAATCTATCATCTACACAGCAGCCAAAGTGATTTTCCTTAAGTACAGATCTAAGCATGTTGTTCAAAAAACTTCACTGCCTCCTCATTGCCTCTAGAATAAAAGATCAATTCCTTTGTTTGGCTTCAAAATGTTTTTTTTTTCAATTATTGAGCATCCATTTTTTTTCTCTCACCCACAAGAAAGAAAGGAAGAATGCAAAGAAGGAAGGAACGAAGGAAGAAAGGAAAGGAGGAAAGAAAGAAGACAGAAAAAGGAAGAAAAAGAAAGAAGAAAAGGAAGGAAGAAAGAAGGGAAAGAGGGAGGGAGGGAAGGAAGAAAGGAAGGAAGGAAGGAGAAAAAATATCTCTCATTTTGCATAGTAGTTCATCATCTCTCTGTCATGAGGTGAGCAACCCTTTGGAATCACGGTTAATCATTCAGTTAATAAATATTTTTAGGTCTTGCCAAGTTGTTCAATTTTATAACATTGGTATTGCAGTACCAATTGTTCGAGTTTTGCTCCCTGGATTCTTCATAAGGACTTACAAGTCCTCTCGTGTCTCTTTGAAACCACCTTTTTTCCAAATTTCTTTTAGCACAATAATATTCCAACGTGTTCAAGGATAACTTGTTCAGCCACTCACCTAGGGAAACCCCTGGTTTCCAGGGTTGGGTTTTTATTTTTTTTGGTGACCACGAAAGGAGCTGCTAGAAATATTTTGTGCACAGCAGATGTTTTCCTTTTTCTTTTATCTCTTTGGTCTATAAACCTAGCAGTGGCATAGCTGGGTCAAAGGTGCGCACAGCGTAGGAACTTTTGGGACATAACGACAAAACACTTTCCAGAATGGCTGGACTCATTCACAGCTCCCTCCACAGACCCTCCAACATTGGTCACCTTATTCTTTCTCATTATCTTTACCAGCCAGATGGGTGAGGTAGAACCTCAGGATGGCTTTAATTTGCATTTCTCTAATGATTAATGATTTGGGGCATTTTTTTCTTGCAGCTATAAATAGCCTGAGTGTCTTCCTTTTAAAACTGCCTGTTCATATCCTTAAGCCATTTATCAATTTAGAAAGCTTCTTAAAATCTGAATTAGTTCCTCGTTTATTTTGAAAATGAGAATTTTATCAGAGAAATAAGCTTCACAGCTTTTTTCCTGTTTGTTTCCCTACTAATCTTAGTTGTATAAGATTTGTTTTTGCAAAAAACTGTTTCTATTTTATATAAACAAAATTATTGAGTTTATCTTCTGTGATTCTTTCTACCCCTTGTTTGATCATGAATCTACCCCCTACCCTGAGATCTGTAGTTAATTTCTTCCTCATTTTTCTAATTTGTTCATTATATGAATTTTTGTATCTAAGTCACATGTTCATTTGGAGCTTATTTTGTCTAAATCTTATAGGTATAAGGTATATAGGTATAGGTATAAATCTAATATCTTCCATATGGCTTTCAAGTTTTCCCAGAAATTTTTTTTATCAGTTAGATCTCTTTCTATGAAACAGTAATTTATAGTTGCATTTACAGAGTTCTTGTGTGAGTTTGGGATAGGTAGACTCCCAAGTATTTTATACATTCTGTCATTATTTTAAATGGAATTTCTTTTTCTATCTCTTCCTGCTGGTTTTTATTGGTATTATAGCACAAGGCTGATGATTTGTATGGATTCATTTTATATCCTTCAACTCTGCTGAAGGCATTGTTTCTCCAATTATACTATCGTATCATCTGCAAAAAGTGATTATTTTGTTTCATTTTACCTCTGCTTATTTCCTCAATTTCTCTTTCCTGTCTTGGTGGTATAGCCAGTATTTCTAGTACTGGGTCAAATAGAAGTGGTGACAATGGACATCCTTGTTTCATCTCTGATTTTAATGGAAAGGATTCTAATATATAATTCTGGCTCTTGGTTTAGATATATACTATATATCACGTTAAGGAAGGTCCACTTATTCTTATGTTTTCTAGTTCGTTTTTTTTTTTAACAGAAATGGGTGTTGTAGTTTGTTAATGCTAATTCTGCATCTATCAATATAATCATATGATTTTTGTTATTAATATGGTTAATTAAGTTTATAGTTTTTCTAATATTAAACCAACCCTGCATTTCTGATACAAATCCAATCTGGTCATAGTATATGGTTATAGTCCAGGCCTGCACAACATATGGCCCACCATAGGATTTTGGGCGGCCAGCAAAACTGTAAGATTGCCACTGTGCCGTCTCCTGTTTGTCACATGACTGATGGCAACCGACCATCCATCCTCAGTCTGTCTTTAGTCTAACCCATCTGTGACCCAAAGAAGTTTAGACTATTTTAATTTTGGCCTCTACCTATTGCCAAGCTGTGCAGGTCTGTTGTAGCCTCTTTGCTAATATTTAAAAGTTTTTTATCAGTGTTCATTAGGGATTTGGTCTACGGTTTTCTTTTTCTATTTTGTCTCTCCCTGGTTTAGGTATCAAAACCATATTTGTATCATAGAAGGAATTTGGCAGAATCCATCTTTTGCTATGTTTGCCACAGTTTAATATTAGACTTTATTTTTTGAAGGTTTGATAATGAATTCACTTGTGAATCCATCTGGTCTTGGCTTTTTTTCCCCTTGGGAGTTCATTTATGGCTAATTCAATTTATTTTTCTGAGGTTATTTGGCTTTATAAATCCCTTTACACCCTTTCCCCAGTATGTCTTTACATCCTTTTTGCACATCATTCTCCTTTTTTCACTCTATTGTCCAACCAAACTGGCCTTCTCTCTATTTCTTGCGTGTAGCATTCTCATATTTGTACCTTTGCATTGGTGTTCAAGGCTGGAATGCATCCCTTTCACCCCCACCTCATAGAATCCCGCTCTTTCTTTATGACTCAGCTCAAGTTCCACATCTTGCAATGAAGCCTTTCCTGATTCCCTTAATTTCAAGTGCCTGCCCTCCCTCCCTAGCTACCTCGTATTTATTTTGCATATATTTATACATGTTTCCTCTGATAGAATAGAAGCTTCTTAAGAACAGGAATTCTTCCTTCCTTCCTTCCTTCCTTCCTTCCCCTCCTTCCTTCCTTCCTTCCTTCCTCCTTCCTTCCCTCCTTCCTTCCTTCCCTCCTTCCTCCTTCCCTTCTTCCTTCCTTCCTTCCTTCCTTCCTTCCTTCCTTCCTTCCCTCCTTCCTTCCTTCCTTCCTCCTCCCTCCCTTCCTTCCCTCCTTCCCTTCTTCCTTCCTCCCTTCCTTCCTTCCTTCCTTCCTTCCTTCCTTCCTTCCTTCCCTCCTTCCCTCCTTCCCTTCTTCCTTCCTTCCTTCCTTCCTTCCTTCCTTCCCCCCTCCCTTCCTTCCCTCCTTCCCTTCTTCCTTCCTCCCTCCCTCCCTCCCCCTTCCTTCCTTCCTTCCTTCCTTCCTTCCTTCCTTCCTTCCTTCCTTCCTTCCCTCCTTCCCTTCTTCCTTCCTTCCTTCCTTCCATCACAAGTACCAAGCATAGTGCCTAGTACATAGTCACAGCTTAATAAAAAGTTGTCGATTGAATAAGTGACCTGCCACCACATATCATGTATCACACATGAGATTAAAACTCAGGTCTTCCTGACACCAAGGCTAGATCTCTATCCACTATGTCACACATGCAAACCTTTATTATTAATAATGACTCACATTTATAAAGCATTTTGAGGTTTCCAAAAAGCTTTTCTCACTTGTGAGGTACAAAGTGCAGTAGTATCATTACTATCTCCATCTTAACAGCTGATGAAGCTGAAGTACAGAAAAGTTGTGACCTCATCCCCGGCTAGCGTAACTAGTACAGGTTCAAACTCA